TGATGGTGTTAATATAATGCATGCGGAAGCAATTTGAATTTTATGCACTCTAAGTACATCAATTATAATAAATTAGCTACCATGTTCAAAAGCATTAAAACTCAATGAGTTTGAATACTAACCTTTTAGAGTTTAAATTTCTTTTTCCTCACGAACCGGTTTCGAACCACCACTAGTGTCTTCCTTACTATTCTCCGACCTTAGAACGGGATTGTGGAACCCAGTGAGTGACTAAATTTGAAAGAAATTTAGTATATGTAAATAGAGGGTTTTTGAGAGAATTTTTCTAAGTTTTTCAAGAAACTTCCGCCTACCTTGATCACTCTATTTATAGAGTGATATTTGCATGTTCATGCAAATTTGAGATTACCAAATTTTGACACTCAAAATTCCACTCAAATTTGTGAGATTATTTGGTAGTTTGGTTAAACCAAATTTTGACAATCAAAATTCCACTCAAATTTGTGAGATTATTGGCAAACATGCAAGTTTGTTAAACCATATATTGTCACTCAATATTCCACTAACTCAACATTAAATCAAATGTCAATCCCAATCAATTCAAGCACATATTGATTATGAATCTCTATTGATAATTAAAATATTTATATCTTATTTAAATATCTCAAATTCTCTCATTTTGTTTAATTTGTAATTAAATTAAAATGCGGTTAAATATATTGTATATATTTAGCGCATATTTTCTAATTTGAGTTCGAACACTTCAAATTCACTCGTCACACTGTTCTAAGATTTAGTCATATATGAGCTAGCAAGGGGACCTAATGGACCTACATATCATGGGCTCCAACGATCCGAGATTAACCGGCTAAACTCATAAACCTTTTAACCAACATTCGTTAATTACTAGGACACTCCACTATAGCCTAGTAGTTAGCACTCCCCTCACTATAGATATATTTCTGTTCATTTGATATAACCTTGATTAGTAAGTCGATCCTTCACAGGTTGTTCGTAATTAGAGCTAGATCAATTTATCGTTTTTACCCCTAAAGTTACTTCTTGTTTCTTAAGTTCCACTGATCCTCTAATGAACAATTAGTTTATGGTCAAATCACCAAACCAAATCCCTCTCAGGCTAATGAGAGGGTGGGGCCCCTTGTTCAAGACCTGGGGTCAGTACTTAAGGGAACAACCTCTTTACTATCCCTAAAAGCGGGTAGGAGTGAGTTCTATCTTACACCCTATGTCTCCAGCTATTCACCCAGTCTTACCCTTGAAATGGGAGGCTTATTGAGTCGGCAAACTCAGGCCACTCTCACCCATGCAAATGTAAAGATAATTCTGAATACAACTGTTCATAGTTAGCTCAGGATTAAGGTTGAGTTACCTAGGTCATCGAATGAAAAAATAAGTCTCAACCCTAAACTACATAGCTATTTTTGAAAATTGAAGCATAGAGAGAGAATATGAAGTGATTCACTTTTATTTATAGTTTTGCTTTTTTACTAGACTGAGGTGAGGAATACAACTTTTTTCTTTAGAGAAGCCTAAGGAGAGATTGTAGGTCTAGCAGGTGGGGATGGGAACGCCACAGGAAGAAGCTATCTTTTTAGCATTGGGAGACTCTAAATAAGGCTTCAATATTGGGATTTTCAGGTATCCACAAAAGGCATCCCTCTTGCTTCTTCACTTTGTCACAGCATTCGGCTGTCGGCGGCTCCGAGGATTTTAATGCAGGAAGACATGCTCTCATCTCCGTAGGATCGCAATTCACCGCCTCTGCCACTCCAGCTCCAGTAAGGAGCGCCACCATCGCCATCACTGCCACCAGAAGGCAAAGCCTTTTCTTCATTGTTGCTGAAAACAAAGATGAATATATTGGTTGTATTTGCCATGAAGTTTCAAGTAGTATTTATAGCGCTTGTAAAGTGGAAGCTGTGCACACAATACTTGCTTCTGGTCAGTTAGGAGTGCAGCCAAATTAATAACATCAATTACCACATATTTAAAAGAAACGGAAGCCAACAAAGTGCCTAAAGTAAACATTTTTTTTTTTGGTGGTGTAACAGAAGGCAAGGGTCGCAAACTACCAAATGTAATAAGAACGGATGGTTGAAAATATGACAAAAGTCATACGTTATCTAATCGAGGACCATATGAATGATAGTCTCTATTCATGTGAAACCATAGATAAAGTTAAGAGAACGTAGACTCCATTATACTATTGAATCTTTAAATAGGAATTAGGAATGATTAATCTTTTCTTTCTTGATTTAGTTGGGTGATTGCAAAAATCTCATTCAAGAGTGTTAAGGATAGTTGACCGTTCATTATAAGGCAAATATCTAGATATTTGCCTTACATTACGGGTTACTATATTTTTTCTTTTACTAAATGCAAATATATTGTATTCATTTATTATTCTTCCTTTTATTGCTATTTCCTTATTATTTGTAATTTACCTCATTTCTGTATTCTGTAAATGATTATAAATAAGAGAACTCTCACCACCATTTGGGTGTGGTGGATTAATCAAACATTCACATGGTATCAGAGCCCTTTCGGTTTAACAACCCTGATCCTTTCTTCTCTATGGCTTCCGAATCTTGTTATCACCTTCTTCCTTTCAATACTCTAATCCATATGATCACCATCAAACTTTCTTCCTCCAATTATCTTCTTTGGAAAAGCCAACTTCTCCCTCTTCTTGAGAGTCAAGACATGCTGGGCTATGTCGATGGAACTATGGTTCCACCACCTCGCTTTGAACCAGAAACCTCATCAACATTCAACCCCAAATATTTGGCATGGAGAGCAGCCGATCAACGACTTCTCTGTCTCTTGCTCTCCTCTCTCACTGAGGAAGCCATGGCTGTTGTCGTTGGTCTCTCTACTGCACGTGATGTTTGGCTTGCGTTGGAAACTACGTTCAGCCATCAGTCAAAAGCTCGTGAACTGAGACTCAAGGATGACTTGCAGTTGATGAAACGTGGCACAAAACCTGTTGCTGAGTATGCCCGTGCCTTCAAAAAAAATTGTGACCAACATCATGCCATTGGCAGACCCGTCGAGGACATTGATAAAGTGCACTGGTTCCTTCGTGGACTCGGCACCGAATTTTCAGCTTTTTCTACTGCTCAGATGGCTCTCACCCCTATCCCCTGTTTTGCAGATCTAGTCTCTAAAACTGAAAGTTTTGAGTTGTTCCAGCGCTCCCTTGAGTCCTCTGACTCCACTCCTACAGCATTCATAGCCACTAATCGTGGTTGCACCCATGAAAGTCACCATGCTTCCTTTACCAACCAGCGAGGTCGTTCTTATTCTCACAAAAACAACTCTTCTAATCGAGGACGAACCCACTCAAGTCAGTGTCGTCGACCACCTCATTGCCAAATATGCTGCAAAGAGGGCCATTATGCTGACCGCTGCAACCAACGGTATGTTCGACCTGATTCTTCTCATGCTCACCTTGCTGAAGCCTTTAACACGTCATGTTCTATTGCTGGATCTGATGCTGCTGATTGGTTTTTGGACACTGGAGCTTCGGCTCATATGACTGCCGACCCATCAATTCTGGATCAGTCTAAAAATTACACGGGTAAGGACTCTGTGATTGTAGGAAACGGTGCATCCCTACCCATTACCCACATCGGTACTCTTTCTCCTGTTCCAAATATTCACTTATTAGATGTCTTGGTTGTCCCTCACCTCACTAAAAATCTTCTTTCCATAAGTAAATTAACGTCTGATTTTCCCCTCTCCGTTACATTTACTAATAATCTTATTACTATCCAGAATCATCAAACAGGAAGGGTGGTGGCAACCGGTAAAAGAGATGGAGGGCTATATGTGCTGGAGCGCGGCAACTCTGCTTTTATTTCAGCCCTTAAAAACAAATCTTTACGTGCTTCATATGATTTATGGCATGCTCGTCTGGGTCATGTGAATCATTCTGTTATTTCTTTTTTAAATAAAAAAGGTCATCTTTCTCTTACGTCTTTATTGCCTTCTCCATCATTATGTAATACTTGTCAGCTTGCGAAAAGCCATCGATTGCCTTATTCCCGCAATGAACGTAGGTCGTCTCATGTGTTAGATCTTATTTATTGTGATCTTTGGGGTCCTTCTCCCGTCAAATCAAATTCGGGTTTTCTTTATTATGCTATTTTTATTGATGATTATTCTCAATTCACTTGGTTTTACCCTTTAAAATTTAAATCTGATTTTTTTGATATTTTTCTTCAATTTCAAAAATTTGTGGAAAATCAATATTCTTCTCGTATCAAGGTATTTCAAAGCGATGGTGGTACCGAATTTACTAGTACTTGTTTCAAAACTCATTTACGTAATTCTGGCATCCACCATCAACTCTCTTGTCCATATACACCTGCTCAAAATCGTCGTGTTGAGAGAAAACATCGTCATGTGACTGAGACTGGCTTGGCCCTTCTCGTTCACTCTCATCTTTCTCCTCGTTTTTGGGTTGACGCCTTCAGCACTGCAGCTTATATTATCAACCGGTTGCCTACTCCACTTCTTGGAGGTAAGTCACCCTTTGAACTCCTTTATGGCTACACTCCACATTATGACAATTTTCATCCCTTTGGTTGTCGTGTTTATCCTTATTTGCGTGATTATATGCCTAACAAGCTTTCTCCCCGCAACATTCCTTGTATTTTTTTGGGTTATAGTCCTGTTCATAAAGGGTTCCGCTGTCTTGATCCCGCCACCACTAAGCTATATATCACCTGTCATGCTCAATTTGATGAAACTCACTTTCCTGCTATCCCTAGCTCCCAAGCCCAACCTCTTTCCACTATTCCTATTTCAAATTTCTTGGAACCACATCTTCATCATATTGATTCATCCCCCCCTACCACTTCATCACCGCACATTCCTCAATCTAGTTCATCCCCGTGTGATATTTGTTCTGATCTTGTAGATGAGTCTGTGCAGGTTGATACTTCTCTTGCAGGTTCCACTTTGCCACCCTCGACTTCTAATTCAACCTCTATTGAACCTCCTGTTGATTTCTCTTCTTTGGGCACTCATCCTATGATCACACGCGCCAAAGCTGGTATATTCAAGACTCGTCATTCAGCAAATCTTGGTATGTTGGGCTCATCTGGACTTTTCTCTGCTCTTCTTGCATCCACTGAGCCAAAAGGATTCAAATCTGCGGCTAAGAATCCTGCTTGGGTGGCTGCCATGGATGAAGAAATTTGAGCGTTACAACAAAATGATACTTGGACTTTGGTTCCTCGCCCTGCCAACACCAACATCGTGGGCTCTAAATGGGTGTTTCGTATTAAATATTTGCTCGATGGATCCGTCGAGCGTTTCAAGGCTCGTCTTGTTGCCAAAGGTTATACTCAGGTTCCTGGTCTTGACTACACTGACACTTTCAGTCCGGTTGTCAAAGCTACCACTGTCCGTGTTGTGCTTTCTA